CTCAATTTGAATATTTCTTGTTGAAAAAATTTGTACAGAATACTCAAATATGTATGAAAATAGGATAAAAAGTTCGATAGAATTAATTATTTTTTTCCATCCTAAAAAAATTCACGAGAAACCGCGTTTTTTAGACCTCCTAATTCAGAATACCCCTTTAAATTATGTACTAATGAACCGTGGATGTAAACATAAGAATATAATATAAATAACTCACGAAGCACGGTTCACGTGTACCATATTTCTGAAAGTAATATATCGTTCGAATAACATTGATATTTCCTACCCTATCCTACTCAATAATGCACGTAATCAGGTTTTGACACAGACTCCCCCAATTTGTATACGTTATACCTCTAATTGCCCTATTCGCGTAATTAGGCTGCCCGTTCGCGTAAAATCTCTCTAGGAAATCGGCAAACGATCGCGTGGAGACGCGTGACCCAAGTGGGGAAATGGCTGCATCGATGAAAGCTTCCGGGAAAGCTCGCGGGGTTACGAGGCGAGGAAATGGAAACGATCGCGCACGCTAGATAGCGGGGCAATGAGACCAGACGTTTATCTAAATTGCGTCCCATTGTTCTATTTGCCAGCAGCACGCGACAATTGCGGGGAGAGGCGAGCGTCCTTGGACGGAAAATAAGTAATTCCGGGGCCGGTTGCGTGAACCGTTCCCGCGGAATGACGGCCGCGGGAGAAACGCAATTTGTTTTTCCAATTTAACGAACGTCGCAATTAACCGGCGCGAGACGTATGAATTTTCGAACGAGCGACTCATCGTCGCCAATTTTCTGCGGTGCCGTAAGCTGCTGACCGATTGCGTCACATGGATTGCCAGATCTCGAGGATTTTCAAACAGAAGCCGCTTTGTGTTAACAGGTGTATTTAGATAGGTATTTCAAGCAGGAAGGAGCAGCTTTGGAGTTACGGAATGATGGAGGGATAAAAATTATTTTGGACTGGAAAAATGTGGGATCATTCGAAGCTTTCCACGTGATAAATTGTGTAAATGCAGATGGCAGGTGAATATGACTCATTCTTATAGTTGGCTCGATAAAGTTTCAACTATAACATGATACGCCAAAAAGCTCTACTTTACAAACAATGGAAACTAAAATTGTCTAGTTTGTAGCAATAAATATTCAGCATCATCATTGCGTTATTGTATTCACTTCGCTCCTTACCAAGTATTCAAATGAAATAAAAATTAAGAATATTGAAGGAAAATAACGAAAAATCCAGCTAATACTCCAGCATCTTGCAAAAATGAAAATTTCAAACTAAGCACGGCTGGAATCCCCCTGGAAAAGCTAGTCGCGGGAAAAGATCTGCGTTGGAACGCGAGGCTAGGAGTTCGAGACGGCGAGTTTCGTCATCTTCGGCTCGTAGTTGCCCGTCTACTCGGTGAACGCGACCTCCGTCGTGGAAGCATAAACAGTGCGGCCCCGGCGAGACCTTTCTTATCTGTCCCGACGAAGGCGAAAACACGCGTAGAGCGTTGCTTTGCACCTGTGTATTTCATCGAGATACTAACGAGATCGCGCCGCGGAAACCCTCCCGATGCCCCGGTGAGCGTCCCCTTTCCCTTCCCTTAGGTGAAATACGACCGCTCGTGCCGGAATTCAACCGCGTGGATCTCGCTGAAATTCTAAATAGACACGACACGACATCGCGCGCGCGCATGACTCGAATTTACCGAGCCAGGGAGTCGACGAACTTCCGCGGAACGTTTTACGTACCGAGACGTTAACACCGAAGAGGTGCAAAACGAACCCGGGTGTTGCAAATTGAACGTTTCATCCGACCCCGTGCCGCGATTTTCGTCCCGTTCGCGTGATAAATCTGACCTGAACGCGCTTGGCGCCCGAGGACGACGATAAAACGCGCCATGGCATTGTATTGCGATTCTTTCTTTTAACGTGTATTATACAAGCAATGTTTTGGAGTATAGTTTAATAAAGGACCTCTTTTGGTTCCTAATTCCGTACATGTTATATTCAGTGAATAAGTATTTCAGGAACTCCAATATTTATTATCCATAAGAGCTCCAATATTACTATTATCATATTGGAGTTATGGGTAATAATTGTATTTGTAACTGGAGGCTTGAGTGAAGTAGCCAATGAAATATAGACTCTATTTTAAATAGAACATATAACGTTCGAGCTCCGAATTAGGATACGAGAGTTGAATATTTTTCTTTGAATATTAATTGTTGGAATGGGATAGATGTTATTTTGTATGAATAGAAGATAATGGATGTTAATTTAGTTTTCTTTGGTTTTAAGGGCACCCTAGTAGCATGGCGCCCATATGTTGTAACAGAATAAGCTATACGCGAAGCAATAAGGCGGAGGAATTTCTGTTGCACTTCCTCAATAAGAGAGCTATGGTTATTAGAACAAGGAGTCCAGACTAATGAAGAATAATTCAAGCGAAGACGCAACGGAGAGTAATAGAGCATTCCTAATAGGGTGCGCGTTATTAAAGTATTGTTCTACTCTATTAACAAGGCCAAGGCTTTAAGGCTTCTAGGGTGAGAAATCCCACCCCGAAGCTAGCCATTAAACCACTAAAGTGTGATAAATTTGCGAGCCAAGGAATAAAACGGATTTTTGTATACCATCACTGAAGCTATTAGGTGCAGAAATGAATTCTGTGCCTTTGGATTCAATCATTTGTAACTCCAGTTTGAGTCTCAACTTGATGGTATCAGGTTTATCTTTATTAAAATTCATCTGCGCGAACTGTGGCTGGTCCTTTAATGCAACAAAATGGCAAGTAAATATATTTACTTAGATTAGAGTTACAAATGATTGAATATAAAAGTCCAGAATTAATTTCTACGCTCAATAAAAGCATTCAGGTATGTTATTTGTCAATTTTTCAATATGGTCCCGAGGAAAGGTCGACTTTGAAAAATTCTAAGAACGTGATTTCGCTTTCCAGAAGGGTGGAGGAAAAAGAACGTGTCTCCCTCGTTTGAGAGCGTCGCGATCAGCCTTCGACGCGTTACGTAAGCAAGGTAAACACTTACGTGTGCAAAAACCTGTTGTCCGACACGTCCGGGGAAAACGTTACACACGTGCCAAGTTGCGACGAAAAATGTGAATACACGCCGCGATTGACATTATTATATATATAATCGTGAAAGCCTACACGAGAGTGTAAGCAAAAATGTGCGTAAAAATAGTACAGGTATATTAAAATTTAAGTTGGCTTTATATTCCACAAAAATTGCAATTTCAATTTCAAGATGCAAATGGATTCCATGATAAATAATACAAAGTTACATGAGAAATTTGAATTAGATAATTAAGTCTAAGATTAGTAGATTAGATATTAACTTAATACTGATTAATATTCTCCTGGCCGTGATGAAATCTAATTATCTGCCATACCATAATAGACGGTTCTATTTGGTACGAATTAATATATAATTAACACTAATATAATACTAGGTTAAATATTAACATAATTCTAAATATTAATAGTATTCGTCAGGGGGTGATGAAGAAATCTAATTATCTGGGATACCATAATAGACGGTTCTATTTGGTACGAATTAATATATAATTAACACAAACATAATACTGGTTATGAATAATATTCGTCAGGAGGTGATGAAGAAATCTAATTATCTATCATACCATAATAGACGGTTCTATATGGGACATATTTTTCTAAATTATGAATGTTTACGATGTAATTTTATAGAGAAATACTTTACTGATGCGTAAGCCCTTTGCAGTCGAGATTTTCGTCGAGCCTCGCCCGACATTCGACCGCAATGGGCTAAGCGACTCAAAAGAAAAACTACAAACTTACTGTTCTCGTCTGTGCCACGTTAATACCTTTCGTCGAATATTTTCGTCGTGTTGTCGAAATTCCACACTCGAGCAGCCCGTCGCGTAATCCGTTTGTTTACGAATGTACCCTTGGCCGAAACTAATTACTGCCCATCGCGAAAACAGAGCGACGATATATTGTGTACTACCTAGACGCCTGGGAATTCCAGGAAACAACGCGATTCGAACAAGATGTTTCATAGTTTTTCTTCTGTCCATTTGTAACGACCTAAACATTCTCGGAAATTTACTTTCAATAACACGTCGTTATATTTCTACGTTAATTCGTTTCATTCCGTGGCAAACAGCTTTGAATAAATTAATTGTATAACGGTTCAATGCACACATTTCCAACACGCTTCGACGCCACTCTTAAATTATTGATTACTAGGCAAAAACATCTGTTTTCGACTCTTTTGTCGTCGCACACTTTGTATCGTCGCACAACTCGATCGTCTATAACTATTGATAACTCATAATTGATCTAATAACTAAATTTTAATCAAACAATAGCACCGTGCTCCATATCCGTGATGCTGAATTCAACGCGACGCCATTATTGCAGCCCGTGCCAACGTTTTCCCGCAAAAATACCGTTCGATAATCGAAAGTGAATCGTCACATATCGAGATAGCCAGAGTACCGGTTCATAATTATGCAATTACCTATTTGCTTTTCAGCGCGACGTTATCCTTGTTTGCTTCATTCTGCGTCTCGGAACGATAACGAAAATCCACCGTGTATAATTCCAAAGAAAATATTAAGTAAAATAAAGAAATGTTAGTTCGACCTCGCGTCTAACTACTCGCGAACATTCGGCGGGCTCCGAATCGATTAGTCGACTAGGTTCTAACCTCTCGCAGCGTAGAGAGTGAAATATTAATGGCACTCCGATATCGAAACAAACTTTGCGCCAAGAATGCCGATAAAAGTGTATTACCAGAGGAAAACAGATACTCCGAACGAAGCGTGTTGTCCAAGCGACGAACGTTTCAAAACACGATACTTCTGCGTTATCGACTACAGTCGATGCGCTATTCGCAAAAGAAACAATGCGTCGTACGAATGAGTCGCTATCGACGCCTTCGTGTTTACGAGTTACGATCGTACGACGCTAGTCATTGAATAAAATAAAGAATCGAAAGTACTCACCACCGACAAGAAAGCTGACGTTCGATGTAAACTCGCCCCTGGATCGTGGAAGAACGTGCAGCTTCGACTTCCTTCTTTGCTCCGTTTCCGAGTGTCTCCTCACGATCGATCAAGTTCGATGACACTGTGATTACGTCGGCTGGTACGGTTCACACTTGCACTCCCGTAAAAAGAAAAAAAAAAAAACACTATTCGACACGACCGACAACGATCGAACACCCTATTCGTTTTCGCGCCTCGGCGCGTGTTTGACGTGTGGAATATCACGAACGAGGAGCGACGACAAACCGCGTCTTCACGGTCCAAACTCGCGCTCGCGACTGCCCAGACTCTCGAAAGCCGCGACCCCAGCGCCGCACCGTGGAAGCCGATCGAAGCGCTCCAAAACGAAATTTCGCTGTTTACGTCGCGCCAACCACGATATACGGAATGGCGTCAAAATTTCTGTGACTTTGGTGTGAGTTTCTGCTCGCCGTTCACGATGAAGAGCGAAATAAAACTGGACCTTCAAGAATGAAGCGAGGACCGGTGAGTTCCGTTATGTACGTCGATATCTCCACGATTATACTTTCACGCACTGAACAACTGTTGGTGTTGACAGATTTAACGATATTGGTTAGAAAGATGAACGATTCTTTATACGCTGTTTCGATAATAAGTTCAATCTAGATTATTTCGAGAAAGGGTTATCGAAAATTAATAAACAACTACGGTTATAGAGTGATTACCGTTATCTAGTATTCGTTAGGAAATTCTGTCTATCTCTAGGTATTGATAGATATGTAATTACTTACGTACAGTGTGTGTAGAAAGTATTCGTACACCGATCAATTTCCAAAAAAACTATGTAAATTCTAATTTATTAACTTATTTTTAATAAACAATGACATTCTACGTATTCTCGGAAATCTCTAGAATAGATAGAGTACCAAAAATAAATAGCTATTTATGTAATTTATGAAATTAACAAAAAAAAAAAAAAAAAAAAACAATCGATAGAAATGTCGAAGCAATAAGTATTTGCACAACTGTTTAATTTTTAAGACTTGATTAAAAATAAAAGAAATTACATTAATTTATAAGTATATAATACTTCCTTCGTGGGATTTCCTTTTGATTTTATAATTATTGTAACTCTTCTATGCATTAAATTACCTAAATTAATAGTTATTCGAAGTGGGATCTTCTTCAATTCCTCTATTAGAGCCATTTTTAAAAGTACTTTACTCAGGGCCGACGTGACCTTATACGAGGCCGGGTTCAAAAATTTTGCGGGACCTGGATTCACATTCAAATCGTACACTTAAATTTTACAACGAGAAATTATTTATTTACAAATGCTGTTACATATTATATATTTTTTATAAGATGAATATTAAATAATAACACTTTGATGATTTTTGTCACTCCTTTCAATTTCATCAGCGTTACTAAAAATATGTCTTGTATTTGTTAATGGTATTATCATTCCGTAAAACGTTTATCAAAATCGGTGCCTTTTAATTCAGTAATTTTCGTAGACCGCGGGGCCTTTTAAAACACGAGGCCGGGTTCCGGTGAACGCGCTGAACCTGACTTGCGTCGGCCCTGACTTTATTGAAAATTTAATGTTTTCTAATTGGTACGGAGCAATAAACTAATGTGTTTTGCAACGTTACAAACTCTACTGTAAATGGTTCGTCATAAGAATCGTACAAATATTTATTACTTCTATACTCTTACCCACTTTTCGTGTGTTTTTGTTAATTTCACAAATTATATTAACTAGTCAATGCTGTTTAGACTATATCTATCTTAGAGACTTCCGAGAATATGTAAAATATCATTTATTATACAAAAAGAAGTTAAGAAACTATCTAGAGACGCGGTAGCGTCTCGGTTTCATTGATTATACAAAAAGAAGTTAAGAAACTACAATTTCACAGAAAAGTTTTTTTTGTTTTTTCACAAACCCTGAGGGATTACTGGTATTATCTACAATCAGTGGAAATGTTTCTGAGATTGCGATTAGCTATAGTCTTAGTCTAGGATATAGCATAATCCCGTCTATTTTACGTGTCTAATCTATAGAGATATTATAAGTAGATATATTATACCTGTGCTCGTCTACGAACGCATTCTTACATCATGTTCTATGTCTACACTATGCCGTCTGGTGGCACCAATGTGGCACCGGTGCCAAACGAAAAAATTTCGATTTGATGTGCGGACGGCATAGTGTTAATAATTATATGAGATAAGTATTTTATATTCGCATTGATAAAAGAACAGAGATAAATAGCGCGCCACAGTTTCCCTTCTCTGTCTAACGATGGGACATATCCACTTTCAGCCAAGCCTACACGGTCTGTCTAAAAAGAAACCGAACTTTTGCTATAAAAGTTTGCTATAAAAGCCAGTAAAGTTTTTACACACACGTTTATTTACTCAAAATAATTTCCTTCTGCATCAATACAGCGTGTAGACCGCGTAATTAACATTTCGAAGGACCTTTGCAGCTCCTGTTTTGGTAAGCCTGTTTAGTACGGTGGTTACAGCGGCCTGAATCTCTGAAACGTTGCTATAATATGTCCCTTTCATTGGAATTTTCAATTTTGGGAAAAGAAAATAATCGCAGGGTGATAGATCAGGCAAGTAGGGTGAATGATCCAAGGTAACAATGCCAATTCTAACGAAAGGGACACATTATAGCAATATTTTGGAGATTCAGGTCGCTGTAACCGCCGTACTAAACGAGGTACCAAAACAGGAGCTGCAAAGGTCCTTCGAAATGTTGATTACACGGTCTACACGCTGTATTGACGTAGAGGGAGATTATTATGAGTAAATAAACGTGTGTGTAAAAACTTTACTTGTTGCACCCACATGAAGAAAACTTTCTTCTTTTTACAGCAAAAGTTCGGTTTCTTTTTAGACAGACCGTGTATGTATTTCCTGCTCTATCTATACTTCTATGTTCCAATCTCGATCCTCATCGTCCCTGAGGACTAAAATGACAACAGCCTCGACGCTCCTCGTGATAAAATACGAAATTTCCATCGCGGGGGAGCGCCATTATGCGTTCCTACGATCTCTACCCTCTAAAGTCCTGATCAAACCTACGATCGCGACGTCGCGAGTCGAAAAAATCGTATCGTCGATAAAATTAGTGTCCGATAATCGCGACGGGGAATCGGAAAGACGAAATGTCAACGACCGACGCGACAACGGGCCGGTTCAATTTCATCCTGGCGTCGACTCCTTAACTGTACACAAACTCGTCGAAGAACTCGACGAGAACTACGTCGGAGTTACTCGCGAAGAGGGAGCAGGAGGGGGCAGAAGCAAGAAACGAACGAACGCTCGTATAATCCGCGTTCTCGACGTTCTGCTGCACCGGTACCATTACCATTACCATTCCAGGTCTTCTTCCCGTTCTTTCTTCGTGTAGCCGGTAAACAGTATTTCCAAGTCGACCGAGTAAATCAACAATCGTTCCCTCGCGTCTTCCGATTACCGGCGCGACTTTTTCCCCGCTGACTTACTTACTTTTTTCGCCACCTTCTCCCTCTCTAACGATTCGCTCGTCGCCCCGATGCATACGGTACGAGGCTCTCTCCCGCGGGAACGACTTCTTTGCGTTGTACTCTCTCCTTACGGGAATCCGCTCGCTGGAGAATAATGGGAGTAACTGTATATACAGAAACGGCGCAAACGTCCGGAAAAACTGAACGCGTAATTGATAGGTGGGCCCGCCGTTTAATTAGCGCGGGACGCTGGCTCTCGTTTGGCTTCTGAAAACCGAAAGTTTTTTTGCGTTGGAGGCCTGTTTGCTCTCAGAGGCGCGCGCTCGAATCATCCGTGCCTCTTTGAGGGTACAACGGTGTTATTTTTCGATTTATTTCCATGGAATTTATTTAAAAATCTTCTTTTTGATTGTAAATGCTACATGCTCGTTTTGCAACAGCTACAATTCGATAGCTAAGCTACTTTGGCGACCAACCATGCGAGTTGTTTGTCCGCGGGCCGCCTTCCGTGAGTTTCGTTGAACGAGCAGTCTCATGCATCGATCGTGATCGTGACGCGAACCGACAATGACTCGCTGTTCGTTTGTCCCGTCGCCTGATCGTCGTCCAAGGACCACCGAGCCGTAATTAACGAGTTCGCGAGTCAATTGGGAGAACAGAGAAAAAATTGGCGTGGAATCGGTAACCGTACACCATCGCCGGCTAATTATATCGTCATTTTTACCCACCTCGCATGATCGATACGAATTTTGCTCGTCCGTGAAAAGGCACGCGAACCGGCTTATTGAATTTCCCGTCGAGCGCACGGCCCGACGTCGTTTCAACGTGGCCAACAGGTTGTCCAGAGAGCTGATCCTGAAACAAGGATCGAGTTTCCTTGTACCTTTACCGCCTGCGGGAATATCGTATTCCCCAACGACGGGGCGGACTACGTGCCGGAAACCGGAAGGGGGCCAAGCTCCTACAAGCGCGTATGCAACGCTAATATTTGTGTAATAGTTATACCATGGTTGATATTTGTCGCAAACATGCTCCAACTTTTGCTTGCTGGCGTGCTTCGGCCCTTTGAATGTATCGCCCATGAATCATTCATAGTGGAGCGCAATGGTTCATTTGATCAACTTCGGTCAGTGGTATGGAAATATTTATGGTCGTTGCATATACTGTAGGTTAAAATGTAATCGTTTTTTAAATTCTTTGAAATCATAATAGGCTATAACAAATCTTTTAATGCCAGTAAAAATTCCCGATCCATTCAAAATATACTAATTGCAAAAGGGAATATTTGCTTACTCTTGCCATCTCAACTTCTTATTTTCTTTGTAAAACATCGGATGGACTTTCCATGACACCGTTAGATAGGTACTTTCTCCTTCGCTTTACATTTTTACGATCAATAAATTTTAAACTTTAGCCCCGTTGTTGCGTAAGATGTTTACACGTTTACCTTTCGACTTATTGTGTCTCGAAGAAGACGTTCGGTGATGAAACTTTTCGGGTTTGACTTTTATCTGAATCTTGTAACTTACGATAGGGAAGAATCGTTCTTCGAACTGTTTGCGAAGCATTCGGGACGAGTAGGTACGAAAACGTTGAGCGTAGGTCGGGTTAAAAAATGAACGAGACACACCGTACCGTGTACGATATCGTAACCGTGAAATTATTATTACTCTCTTACAATATCTCTTTAATGTTCTCCTTAAGCTATAAACCGTCATTCGTGTTTTGTACATGAAAGTATCGAAAAAGTCAAAAGCACTGTTCGATGCTTCTTACCTCTGTGTTCGCGCTTAATACGGAGTCTAAAAGGATCCTCGCGTGCGCATTATCCGGATATTATTTTTTATTTTCTTATGTTTTTTCTCTCGTCCGTCTGGTTCTCATATATTCTTTCGAGGGTACCACTAGGTGGATTAATGAACACCACGGTGCTTTCGACGATCGCTCGACAAGATCCACGCAACGAACGCGAGACGCGAAGCTTCCCATTTCCTTCTCCGTTTTGGCAGTGCGAAACAATTGTTTTGTTCTCTCAATTCCCCCGTTTCCTTCGTGTTCCCTTTGACCGTTTATAGTCAGGGTTGCCAAATGTGAACAGGTGGTAAGTAGAGCAGGTTTGTTCCTGAGAGGATGAGGATCTATACATAAATGTATGTGTATATATATATGTGTATATTTATTGCTCGTGTAAAGGTAAATGCAAAAGTCCTTTGCCATTTTGTTATTCGAGGCTTTGTTCTCGAGATACAGGGAATCTTTGTTAAGTGTCGCGTGGCTATTCCCACCACTGGAGATTAAATTTCATTTCCTTCGGTCATCCAGTGACACTTATCGAAAATTCACTGTATAAGTAGAACATGTAGGATCTAGAACACAATGGTGTGACTGTGGTGTTGAAAATAGAACACGTGACAACCCTGACCAGTGACTGGCCAATTCAGTATTGCATTTATAGACTATCGAATATTGAAAATTTTGTCAAACAAA